CATTTCTACATAAAATCAAAAGATAAATACTTGAAAAAGGGTTATGAAATATTATTGATTTGTATTTGAATCTGTACATATGGGTCTCTATTTATAGAGACTTCTTGACCTAATTTCGACCTAATGGGCTTGGCCCAATATATAAGTAACGGACTAAATAAATACAAATAAATGACTACATAATTACTAATAAATGACTACATAATTACTATTTACAACACTCCCCCTCAAGCTGAGGAATAGATATTTATCATTCCCAGCTTGCTAGCAAGTTCTTGAAATCTATCTGAAGGAAGCCCTTTTGTCAATAGATCAGCTAATTGACGCCCAGTGGGAATGTATGGAGTGGTAATCAACCCGCTATCAAGTTTCTCTTTGATGAAATGGCGGTCGACCTCAATATGTTTAGTCCGATAATGTTGAACTGGATTATGAGCTATACAAATAGCGGACTTATTATCACATAGCAGCTTCATAGGTCCCTCACATTTTATTTTTAGATCATCAAGTACAATTTTCAGCCACAGTAACTCACAAATGCCTTGAGCCATAGCTCGAAATTCAGCTTCTGCACTTGATCTGGCGACCACATCTTGTTTCTTACTTCTCCATGTCACCAAGTTACCACAAAGAAACATGCAATAACCAGTGGTAGAACGACGGTCAGTCACGGATCCAGCATAATCAGCATCTGTGTAGACTTCTAAAGATAGATTGCCATCACGTCGGAATAACAACCCTTTACCAGGAGTACCTTTCAGATACTGAAGAATTCTCTCTACTACCTGCATATGTTTCTCCTTTGGATCGTGCATAAACTGACTGACAACACTAACAACATAAGCTAAGTCTGGTCTAGTATGGGCCAAATATATCAATTTCCCAACTAGCCGTTGATATTGTCCTTTATCAACTGGAGGACTCTCCTCTTCATAGCACATCTTGTGATTCTGCTCAATAGGAGTATTAGAGGGTTTACACCCGAGCTTTCCTGCTTCTTTGAGAAGATCAAGAACATATTTACTCTGGCTGATAAAGATTCCTTTGCTCGAATGAGCTACTTCTATCCCTAGGAAATATCTCAGTTTCCCAAGGTCTTTGCTTCAAACTCAGAGGCAAGCCGTGTTTGCAGAATCTGTCTCTCCATAAAATCATCACCTGTGATAATAATATCATCAACATATACAAGGAGCACAGTAAGCTTCCCATTTTGGGAGTGCTTGAAAAAAAGAGTGTGATCTCCTTGACTTTGTTTATATCCTAAGGTTATCATAACCTTAGTAAACTTTCCAAACCAGGCACGAGGTGACTGCTTCAATCCATACAAGACCTTTTTTAATTTACAAATTTTATTTTCTCCCTTCACAGAATCAAAACCAGGCGGAATTTCCATGTAGACTTCTTCTTCTAACTCACCATTGAGGAAAACATTCTTCACATCAAATTGGTTTATATCCCAATTGTAATGGGCAGCAAGGGATAACAAAACTCTCACCGTATTCATCTTTGCAACTGGAGCAAATGTTTCTTCATAATCAATGTCATAGGTTTGAGAGTAACCTTTGGCAACTAATCGAGCTTTGTATCTCTCAAGAGTTCCATCAGAATTATATTTCAGGGCATAAACTCATCTGCACCCTACTGCTTTCTTTCCAGTAGGTCTATCAATAACCTCCCATGTTTTATTTTTCTCCAATGCATTCATCTCCTCTTGCATGGCTTGAGCCCAATTCCCATCTTTCAAGGCTTCATGTACTGATTTTGGGATTGCAATAGAGTCTATTGCTGAAACAAAGCTTTTGTGCTGCATAGACAGATTAGTAGAGGAAACAAAATGGGAGATAGGGTATTGAGTACAAGAGGAACAAGATTTCTTGAGACATGATCTTTTTCCTTTTCTAAGAGCAATGGATAAATCATCAGAATCAGTAGTAATGGGTAAGTCATCAGAAGTATCATGATCAGAAATATGAGATTCAGGACTTACCAATGGTTCAGACGATTGAGGTTGCTGCTGAGGCAATGTGGGCTGTGTATCAGTCATAGGAGGATCAGTCACAGGAGGATCAGACATAGACACATTGGGAACAGGAACAAGAGGAAGAGACACTGACTCAGGTGAAGGAGTAGACACTGAAGATTCAAATTCAAAGAAGGAAGGTGATGAGTCTTCTAGTGAATTATTCTCCCCCTGAAGATGAGGACCTTGGAAAAAGGACTCATATTCCTGAAATGTAACATCCATAGAAACAAAAAATTTCTGACTACCAGGGTGATAACACTTGTAGCCCTTCTTATCAGGAGCATATCCAAGGAAGACACATTTAAGAGCCCTAGGATCCAACTTACTACGATGCTGTTTATGAATATGAACAAAGACAACACACCCAAACACTCGAGGAGGAAGACTTTGCAAAGTTGGAACAAAAGGAAAAAAAGAAGTCATGGAGTGAATAAAGAAGTCATGGAGTGAATAGGACTTACATGATCGAGAACCCGAGTGGGTAGACGGTTGATCAAGAACGCTGCAGTAAGAATGGCATCTCCCCAATAGCATTTGGGTACATGTGTTTGAAACAGTAAGGCACGAGCAACTTCAAGAAGGTGACGATTTTTTCTTTCAGCAACCCCATTTTGTTGAGGGGTTTCTATACAAGTAAGTTCATGAATCATACCTTGATTTCGTATAAATTGGGAAAAACTGTGATTAACATATTCAGTACCATTATCTGTTCTTAGTCTCTTGATTTTTATACCAAATTGGGTCTCAACCATTTTATAAAATTGAAAGAACAGATGTGGTACCTCATACTTTTCATGCATTAAGTAAACCCAAGTTACACGAGTGCAATCATCAATAAAAGAAACAAACCATCTATTTCCAGAAGCATGAGGGACTTTAGAAGGACCCCAAACATCAGAACGAATAAGATCAAAAGGTTCAACACTCTTAGGTACTACTAGAAGGAAAAGACACACGATGATGCTTAGCAAACTCACAAACATCACAATAAAAAGACTCAACAGGCTTAGATAAAAACAATGACGGAAATAAAGACTTGAGTAAACCAAATGGAGGGTGTCCCAAGCGCTTATGATGAAGCCAAATCAAAGAATCAGCAGTTGATTGACCATGAGACATCAAGATGTGATCTGTTACTTTATTTACGGGAGATTGTGACACCAGATAGTACAGCCCACCTTGCTCTTTAGCACTACCAATCGTCTTCCCCGTGGCGAGATCCTGAAAAACACAATGGGTAGGGAAGAAGGTTACAGTACAATTCAGATCTTTTGTAATTTTATGAATAGAAAGAAGATTCGTGGAGAGTTTAGGAACATGAAGAGCATCTTTAAGATGTAAGGACTGCTGTAAGTTTATGTCACCAGAACCCGCAACTGATGTATGTGAGCCATCAGCTATGGCTATAGTATGAGTTCCAATGGTAGGATGATAAGAAGCAAAGGAGTCAGCACAACAAGCTATATGATCAGTAGCACCAGAATCAACAACCCAGGAATGTTTAAAATCATTACATGAAGAAAGGAAAGAATGAGTCTTGGGGCTCATACCAGTCAAAGCCAAAGCACTAGTATCAGATGGCTTACTCAGATAATCAATGATGGTTCGGAGCCGTTCTAACTCATCTAGACGAAATGCAGGTTGGGTCTCATTAGGTGCAGGAGTTATTCCAAATGAAGTAAAATGCGCTTGACCACGCATCATTGCCATCTTTTCTAAGACAGTTTGCTTTCCATGGAGGCGAAAGCATAAATCCTTGATATGACCTGTTCTTTTACAATAAGAACACCATCGATCATCTCTCTTAGGTTTAGAAGATGCACCATCATAAAACTTTGTAAAGGAACTCCTTTAAGAAGAGGCCATACTGCACAAAAAACAGTCAACAAAAAAGGCTCTAAGAAGCCAAAAAATTCGGAAAAAATACCAAACGATGTCCGATCTGAGAAAATAACACAGATCCAGAAAGATAACAAGGAGACGAGAAGAATGGTGGTGGTCCGGTCCAGAAACACCGCCGGACGCGCCTCCACGCGCCGGAGAAAGCAGCTGCGCGGGGGCTTCACTATCGGACAAAGAGGCGGCGCGTGAGAGCGCGTGGCAAGGCTTCTCCGGCTGAAATTTTTCCGGTGTGGTCGTCCGGTGAGCGCGCACCTGTGTGTGGGTGGTTGCGGTTGAAAAGTCACCAGAAAGGGTTCTAAACGGTGAAGACATAACTGGTTGAAGGCGGTCGGAGGTGTTTGGGTCGTTTGTGGCGGAGGAACGTTGCGTAGAATGATAGAACGAAAAAAAAGGTCAACAGTGGTCCCCTTGGTCCAAAAGGTCTCCGGAAATTTTTTTTCGGTGGCAGCTGATGGCGGCAAGAGGCAAAGAAATTAGGGTTTTGTAAAAAAAAAGACAATAGGCGCGGAAGCAGAGCCCTCAGGATCGAGAGCTCTGATACCAACTTGAAAAAGGGTTATGAAATATTATTGATTTGTATTTGAATCTGTACATAGGGGTCTCTATTTATAGAGACTTCTTGACCTAATTTTGACCTAATGAGCTTGGTCCAATATACAAGTAACAAACTAAATAAATACAAATAAATGACTACATAATTACTAATAAATGACTACATAATTATTGTTTACAACATAAATATATAGACAATTCCTCAAGTACTTTTAAAACGAAATATATATTGAAGAAAAATAAAATAATGTCACTAAAAAGCAATCTAGAAGAAGAGAAGGGGCCAGGTCGAAGATGACCCACACACGCAACCCACTACGACGTTACATGGGCTGACTTTGCTGACTAGTGATTATCACATGCAATCCTAAAACTATAGGATTTGGGAGTACATAGAAAAATAAAAATAAAAAATAATTTTTTTGAATAAAATCATAAATAGATAAATGAAGTTACACACAAGATAAAATATTAAATTTTATTTATAGTAATAGAATCTTGAAATACAGAAAGAAATCATGAAATACGAAGAAACTAATCGTTAAAGATCTTTTAACTGAAGTTCCACGCGCCGCGCTTGCACACACGCTAGCGGCTCTTTTAAATCCTTGGATACCTCACCACCAAACACACCCCCGATTATAATGGGACAGTCACCGTCCACCGCCGTGCCTCCTTGGTCGGAAATTAATCGCCACCATATCTCTCCGTTATATTCAACCAACGATGCCGATCGAGACTACACCGTCGATCTCCCTGACGATTGCTTGGCCGGGATCTTTCATTTCCTAAGCTCTGTCGATCGGAAACGCTGCTCCCTCGTCTGCCGGCGGTGGTTCCGCATCGACGGCCAAAGCCGCCATCGGCTCTCCCTGAACGCTCAAGCGGAATTGGTGGACTTCGTTCCTTCGCTTTTTACCCGATTCGACTCGGTCACGAAACTCTCCCTGCGATGCGACCGCAGGTGCACCAGCATAAACGACGACGCTTTGGCACTTATCTCGCTCCGATGCAAGAACCTCGCGCGCCTCAAGCTCCGCGGCTGCCGGGAAATAACCGAAATCGGAATGGCCGACGTCGGCAACAACTGCAAGGCCTTGAAGAAGCTCTCATGCGCGTCGTGTATGTTCGGCACCAAGGGAATCATCGCCGTGATGGATCGTTGCGCCGGTTTGGAAGAACTCTCCGTGAAGCGGCTCCGTGGGGTCCACGACAGCACCGAGGCGATTGATTCATCGTTAAAATCAATATGCCTGAAAGAGCTTGTTAATGGCCAAAGCTTCGCGCCGCTTATAATTGGTTCGAAAAAGCTTCGAACTTTGAAGCTGATTGGGTGTTTGGGCGATTGGGATGAGACTCTGGAGAAGATTGGATTGTTAAACGCTGTGTTAATTGAAGTTCACCTTGAGAAGATTCAAGTTAGTGATATGGGTCTTAATGGGATATCTAATTGCTTGGGCTTGGAAACTTTGCACATTGTGAAAACCGCTGAGTGCTCCAACTTGGGGATTTCTGTAGTTGCTGAGAGATGCAAGCTGTTGAGAAAGCTTCACATTGATGGATGGAGGACTAATAGGATTGGTGATGATGGGTTGATTGCTATTGCCAAGCACTGTTTGAGTTTACAAGAACTTGTTTTGATTGGTATCTATCCCACATATTTGAGCTTCGTGGCAATTGCATCCAATTGCATAAATTTGGAAAGGTTGGCTCTTTGTGGGATTGGCACCGTTGGTGATGCGGAGATTGAGTGCATTGCTGCCAAGTGTGTTGCACTCAAGAAGCTATGCATTAAAGGATGCCCTATATCTAATGCTGGGATTGGAGCTCTTGCTTCGGGTTGTCCCAATTTGGTTAAGGTTAAGGTTAAAAAGTGTAGAAAGATTACTGGTAAAGGTGTAGAGTGGGTGCGTGAACAGAGGGTTTCTTTGGCATTTAATTACGATGATAGTGAAGTTGAAGCTTTGGATGGGAGTGGAAGCGATGGTGTTGAAGGAGGTCAAGACAGTAGTACTATTGAGTTTCTACCAACAACCAACCAAATAACCGTGGCTGATGCTCCATCAAGTAGTAACAACAACCGATTGACAATGTTCAGAACAAAGTTTGGGTTTTTGGCTGGTAGAAATTTAGTGCCGTGTGCCTTCAGAAGGTGGTCAAACGGTGATGATATCTCCAGTAGCAGCTTTTCATGATCTCGGTTAGAAAACAAACACATTTTTGCCATTTTCACATTCTTCAATATTGTGTTCGGTTGCCTGTTCCTTGCAGTGATTGCTAATATTAGTATTTCTTTTGTCAACTGCATTTGCCAATTACCATCATTGGTTGTTAAGATGGTCATACCAGCTTTGTAACTTGTCATAGAACTGTGTCTTGGAACACACTATAGTTACTTACTCCTATTGGCGTGTATACGTATGTACCCAATGTAATCACGCGAACCACTTTTTACTGAAAGAAAATTAAAAATACTTCATTAAGTTATTATGGATGGGATACAATTTTGATTGTGAAAAACTGATCTAATAACATGGGAATATTTAATCATTAATTCCAAATGCCGAACCAGAGTTATTTGAGAATATTGTTTGCCTTTCCTTAAACCAGAGATAGTAAAACGGTGTGCTACATGGTTCATATTTCTGTGAATAAACTGAAACCTCAAGTACGTAACCATTTTATCTGTTTCTATAAGCAAAAAAATCTTCTGCACTAAGTTAATTCAACTGTTAAGGTAATATAATTTGATTATCCATCCCTAGCAAAGTTCTGAACTGAAGTTGTCTTCTTTGGTCCAAATCTTATCATCTTTTTTGAACTCCGATGTGCAGCAGCCTCACTGTAATTTTTTAGAAATAAATACTTTTAAATTTATCTAGAGATTATATATTATGGAATTATAAGATAGCATTTTATTTTTGAGTGTACATTGTATTGATTAATACCCGTTTTCACATTACTCTATTCTTTACTATTATTATAATAAAATATATAATTTTATTTGGTCACTGTTTTGTTTTAGGTAGAAGGTATCTTAAAAATAACAAAATTCATAAGGTATACTCTTAAATATAATCTAGAGTAGGTATGTTTTAGAACGAAAATATATCCTGAATAATATCGAAATCGAACGAGTTCATACAGCATCCTCTTAATCACTTTCAAAATCTTCATCTCCAAAAGAAAAAACGGAAGCATCTGCTGCAATTGCTTTGATTTCACTTGCCCCTACAGATTCCATGTTAGTGGTGTTGGGGCCTGCATGAATTTTATGAAGTTTATCTGAAGTTGATTCTTCAGAAGCATTGTTTTGCGTATGTTCCTTATGCTGTAGTGACAACTGATCCGTTGCATGTGCCAACATTCCTACATGTTCTTTAGTGACCTCAGATACTTGATGAGGTGCCATAAATTTGTATTCAGTTGCAGCTTTCCTGCTTTGTGAATCCCGGGGCTCCTCTTCATCACTGTCCGAGAACACATCTTCATCTCCATTTCTAGGGACCTTAGTCTCACTTGAATTAGATGTCAGCCTTGCACCGGTTAGGACATTGCTTGTGTTGCCATTAGGTCCTTTGCTAGCAGTATTGGCTTTTGTCCTTGCAGGTAGAGTGCCGTTACAGTCTACCATCACAACTTCGACCTGGAATCCTGGAGCAGGGATCTTTCTCTGAAGGGAGCAGTCATAAGGTTTATATTATCACCAAGTTCAGAGAATCAACCAATAGACGAACATAAGGCAAAATATAGTAAGGGCTAGTCGCCGCTTACAAATAACATTGGAAAAAAGAAAGAGTATATTTACCTTGTCAAAACCATCCAGATCCGAGCCATCTAAAATTGTTCGATTTTCTGTCATTGCTGTATTCAGCCAACTGCCAAGAAGAAACTGATATATCAAAAAACCTGGTAATCTATGTGTAAACAAACTCTGTTCAGTACAATACAAATCTTGAATGTATAGCAGAGTTGGGAATCAAACTATTCATCATGATATAACATTTTGGTCTCCGATTGAAAAGATTCAGAAGACAGGTAGATATGCGCGCCAATAAATAAATTATATGGTGAAATCGCTATAAATGTCAAAGTACAATCATAAAGATACTGATAAATCTGAGTGCCCCTTCAGCACTCTACAGAGGAAAAAGCTAAAGTATAAGGGGGCCGAAAGAAGGTGTTTAGAACAAACCAGTAGAAATCTCCCAGTCGGTCCTGAAAATGAATTTTGAAATCCCCAACCAACTCTGTCAGACCAGGCTCCCCTGGTAGTGCAAAGACCACAATTCCTTTCTTCGGTGCACTGATCCAGAAATCTTCTGGCTGCAATCGAGTTTAAAAAGTGAATTCAGTAATCAAATTCAAATCCATCCATGAGCATTGAGGCTTTTGGAAAAGAATCAAAACTCATCAAAAGAAGGCATAAAAATTAGCTCGTGTCTACCATTAGATCCTTTGTTTTGGGATGCTTTCTCGTGGTGAAAAGAATTCCTGAGAATGAGTGAAAACATCAGCCTTCTCTAGATTAAAACGTTAGTTGTGAGAACAACTCGACAAGGTATTTGACAAAGTACAGTATAAACTAGAGTCTTGCAAAGGTAGAAATGCATATCAATTACTTTGGTGCAAATTCAATCAGGAAAGATACAAACCTTTTCAGACTGAAAAGTGTAACCATATTAAAGGTACATAGGATATCTGAAGTTCTGAACCAGACTCCCATATAATGAATGTTCAAATTTCTTAAGCTATAATTGGTAGAGATGAAAACGAGTGAATCTTGAGGACTTCTCTTTAGCTTTCATCTCATTTTATGCATATTCTTCCATTTACGCCTTCGGGTACAACATTAGTGGAAGCAAACAATTCTTTCTTTAACCATACAATTATAAATTTTCCCTTTTATCTTCATGCAAACCTTGGAATCGAAGTGATTTTAGTTTGCTCAACAAATCATGTATTGAAATCCCCGCTACAGATATGTCATTCGATAAACAAAAATCATTTTATGGGAAAAACAACTTTTTCAATGGAATGATTTTCCAATATAACTTCTCAGCATTACAGAAATTCAAATGCATGAAGAGGAAGCAATGAGCTTTGATGCTTACCAGTATGATCAGATATTGTAATGCATGGCCTAACCCAATAAGGGCATTTGTGAAGCCGAAACCCTCTTAGCATGCACCTGTGAAAGTCCAAATTAAGAAGAACTTTCTTTGGTTTTGGTACCCATTTACAAAATTACATCTTACCTTCGCCCAGGCTGGACTTCTCCTTTGAAGTGTGTTAAAGTCCGTTCAAAGTATTTGACATATCTCTAAAAGATTTCAGAAATAAATATTTTAGAAGAATATGTCTGGAAGATTACATCTTAAATAAAACGATAAACTAAAACAAATGACTGACGATCTGACTAGGGAGAACTAGAGCCTTTCCATCTACACATCTTTTCTGGTTAAAGTAATCAATGGCTTCCTCTGCAGTTGGGAAGAACTGCAAAATGATTCCCAGCAAACAATTGACAGTCAAAAATTGCCAAATTCAAACAGAAAAAATAGCACAACTAAGATCCCAAAGTCTTTGAAGTTGATTATCATGACCTACCTTAAGAAACAAAAGAAGACTACAAATCATCAGTCCTGTCCTCCCCATACCAGCTTTACAATGAACAACCACCACATTTTGAATATCCTCCTTCAGCCATGAATATGCACTTTGACAAAATGATGCTATAAGTTGAATAGAAGGGCAATTATGATCACTAAATGGGAAACTTGCAACCTGAAAACAATGCCAAGAGGTTAATAGGGCAGACATGAATATTACAATAATTTGGATAAAATAAAAATAAAAATTAGTGGCCCATTCCTTGTGTCTTTTTTTTCTTTTTCTTTTAAAAAAAATATCTACAAAACCAAAATGTAATTAAAAAAAACCACTCCCCATTAAACCCGACTAAAAACCAAATTGCAATAAAAAAGTGAAAAAATTATAGTCCACATATTTATATCCAATTTTCATCTATTACATGCGATGTTTTCTAAGACAGAATTTCTGCAACTGACAAACTAAAGTATGAAACTAGGATACCTTAACAAAGTCTCAGTCTCATAAGCGTAATTATTCACAATATGATCAATAGTGAGCGCACACTCGGTATTAATTTCATGATGAAAACCTGAACATGTTGCCCATTATCAAATTTGTGAATTTTTTTTAATATATCTTTATCATGGCCTTATGAGATAATTTTAAGAAAAAAGAAAACCACTCAGTGTTGTGTGTATGCTTTTCAGAGTCTTTTGGAGCAATAAAGTTACCATCATATACATTTAAAACATGTAAAAATACCAAATTCCAGAGTAGCTCCATTGCACAATTAGCAGCTCCTGACAAGGTGACTACGCTACGATTATCAACTTTAAGTTGAATATGAAGAAAAAGTGATGCGTACAAGGAGACTAGAAAGGTAAATGATAGGTAACCATCAAGTTATTACCCATCTATCCCAGTAGATCAATAGAGTGCTAAGGTGAAAATAAAGATGAAAACCACACCTTCCCCTGGAATAGTGATCCATCATACAACCTCTCCGAACAAAGATTGTATACTTTGTACTTTCCCTGCACGTCAAGGCTTCAGGAGATTAAACTTGTCAAAAAGATAATAGATAAATTGTCAACACTCAGCACATAAAGATACAAGCAGAGTTTAATTGTTGTAGCAAGCCATTAAATGATAGCTAGGATCTTATATATTCTAAGGATTAGGATTTTGTTTTTAATACGGGTTTCTATGCTATGTGAAGGGATTTGATGGCTGTAACAGGGGATAGTTCACATTTTTAATAAAATGCTTTCTTCTATATTCCAAGGTTGTTAACCAAAAGAAAAATACTCTTTGGCTCTGTTATAAATTTCTTTGACCCTGTTCTATATTTCTTTGACCATCCTTTTCTCCCCGAATTTCAAGAGTTCTACAGGACGAGCAGATAATAGGATCCAAACATTATGTTACCTCATGATGAGTTTCAAAAAATTTGATGACTTCTTCCATGTGATTGCGGTAGAACCCCTGCAACACAGTTCTCCCTTAAATTGAATGATGACTGAACTTGGCTTGAACATGAGAGACAAGACTTTGTATAAATATACCTCAATGTATCCAAAAATTCCAGAGCTAAAATCACCACCCGGAAATCCCATAGCAATTATATTTTCAGTGATGTATGCCAGATCCAAATCAAATCCATCTTCCTGTTACAATATAATAAGAGTTAAAAATGTTCCATAAAAGAAATATGAAATCAACATGGAAGATGAGTCAATTCTTTACAAAGCTTAGTATTGTTTCATTCAAAATTCAATAGATTTGATAGAAAAATGCTAGCTTGTATCTGAGAGAGTATCAGATACATCAAGAATATTATTCTTCAATAGATAAAGTCAAGAGAGTGACCATCTCTGTCATGATCCTTTGACATAATTGGGAAATCAACATTTCTGTCATTAAGAATGTTAGAGGACTGAACAACTCTTTCATAGGAGGTAATAGACCAAGGATTCTAGGAAGATACTAGGAAAATACAATGCTTTGAGCACATGCTCTTCTACTAAATTTTCCCCAACTCTAGTTTGTGCAGGATTTCAAAACTTCCATATAAGATGTTTTTCTTGAGCATGTTTCATATCCAAGCATGGACTGAAAAAATGAGCATGCCTAAAGTTTTGGTACACTGCGTGAACTATTCAATCGATAAGCAACAATGTGTAATCACGATGAGGTTAAGATCAAAATCCAGCATATTTAACCTGACAAGATACATGTTGCTAAGGAACATTTGTGGGTATTACTGTTTTTAATAGCAAAAAAATTGTCCTCAACCGTTATAAAGAACCCAAGAAGATAAGTTGTTTTAACAATTAGGTATAACACTTGGCAAAATACAAAAGGACCATTGGATTCTTTTGTATAATGTTGATAATTAAAATATTAAAGGAACATGCCAAGAGTAAGAAACTTTACCAAACATTTAAAAAAAACAAAAGCTTTCAATGAATAATTCTTGGATTGTCCATCAGTATAATTTTAGAATAAAATCTGATATGTATTCCACGTATAACAATAATGAAGCCATAAGAATTGAGATGAAAAAGGAAAGGGTGATAATACAATATAACATGGAATAGCACAGTTAGCGGAATTAGTAGTATGCTCAGGTGGTGCTCCTATTCATATAATCAATTTTAAATTGAAATTGCTGCCAACAGCAACACAGATAATGATATAATCCTGACAATTTATGGAAGTCAACGAAAAAAGAAGAAGGTAAATATAAGGGTCCAATTTGTATTCAAAAATAGAAGTGACAAAAACAACCCATGCAACTAGTGAACACAGTTCTCACAACTGCAAGTAACCCAAGCAGCAGATTTGTACATGATAGAATAGTTCAGTTATATAATTTAACCAGTTTGATGGCAGTAATAGAGGTAAAACTGAACCGGGTATAAAAAATTTCATTGACAGCTGACCTGGTATCTCCGTTTATTTTGAGAGACAATATGGCGTGCTTTGACCTGCATTGCCTTTACTGCACCCTTGGAAGAGTCCACCAACCCTTTGGTGAAGGATTCAATTAAATTAGGTTGCTCGGCTCCTGAATTCACTGGATTAGTCTCATTAGAGGGATTTCGCAATCCAAGCCCACCAGTGAGGCGAGCAAAAGCTGACATGCCATTATTTTCAGTCTGTGAGTCTTGTTGTGCTTGACCAAGCCCAAGGGACTGTGGTAATTTCAGATTTCTTGCCCACGATGACATGCCAGAAGTGGGTAACAAGGATGGTGAATCATGAGCACTGCCAATTTGTGCAGATAATATGGTGGAGTTATGTCCAGTATTAGAAGCTGAAGCAGTAGGCTGAGGTGAAGAGTCAGCAGATGCTGGTTCCATTAGTCACCCAAAATGAAGTTCTGTAAAGTGGAAAACCAACCTAAGCCATGAACAGTTTAAGCATCTAACACCAAATTAACCAGCCAAATAGTAATTAAAAAACTTGACAACATAAAACGTTGGTGGTAAAATTACTATATGAAAGCGGTGATTATATAAAACATCCACCCAGTGCAAAATCATACAAGATTTCTTTCACTTCACAAGCTAATTAATTTCAGAACCGAGCCAGTAATCTCATAAATGAACTCGATTGGGACATAAATTGAATCAAAATAGTGCAAAGACGTCAGCATGAGAAATGAAAACAGAGGGATCTGAAAATGGAGGCTTCAACGATACAGATTGAGCTGATTTGCCATTGAACACAAGCAACAGTTGTAATTTGCAAACAATGCAGAAGCACATTCGCATCAGACATACAAGAAAAAAAAAATGCAAGAACAGTGGATCGCTTACCGGTGAGTCGGTGACGATGCACTATTCGATCTGTTTCGCAGGGAATAATGGTTTTCGTGAACGGAAAGCATGTGATTTGCAAGTTCGAGATTTAGATCAATGCAGCTTCATTAGAATCACCAGCAATGTAACATTGGAATTCCAAAGAGGAATGAAGAGCTCGCCAATACGAAATGGAAGATTCAGACCGTTATTACTTATTTCATAATCCATGATTTTATCATTGCATTAAAAATTAGGATAATAAACTTCCTACTTTTTTTTTCCCTTAAATCTTAATTGTTAATTTATGTTAATCTAACGGTTATAATTTATTGGATCATACTTATTAATTAATTATTAATTTCTAATAAATTATAACTGTTAAGTTGACGAAAATTAACAGTTAAAATTTAATAGTAAAAAAAATAAGACAAAAAAGATAGTAAATATAACTTTTTTTATAGTCTAAATAAGAGTTTAAGGCTCTCTAGGTTTGATTATATTAGTCTTTAAATTAAAGGAGTATGATATTGTAACAATCAATTAGGATTACTATCAATCAATACCACCGTTAGATTGATTATGTTGATCTAACAGTTATATTTATTTATATCTTTGTATGGTTATGATTTTCCATATTTAATGCAAAGATAAAAATAAATATAAAGTATAAAGTATAAGAAATCATAACCATACAAAGGTGAAAATAAATATAAAGTATTAAATATGAGAAATCATAATCATGCTAAGATGAAAATAAATATAAATGTTAGATCCACATAATCGATCTAACAGTGAAATTGATTAGTAATAATTCTAATTGATTGTTACAATATTATATTTTTTTGATTTCATACGGTAATTTTATCTTTTAAAAATTAATATAATAACATTATATTTTTTTTAAGTTACAAAATTATTTTATGACTTACATGGAACATATGACATCCAAAAATTAAGAAAAATAGCATACCAAAAAAAAAAATATTAAGAAAAATAATAATTAAAAGTTGGAATTTGCTTTTGACAGATGGTTAAACAAAATTAGAACCGAACGAACCGATGATTGATTTGGTTGACCGTTTATCCGGTTCGAGATCGGAACCGGGTCGAGTTGTTTGGGGGTTGTATTTGTAGCATCGCTATCGGGTGCAGCATCGTCGATCGCATCATCCATAAGACCATAACCATTTCAACTTGCGTTCCCATTTTCAAAACGACACATCGATGGACGTGGGAGGCGCCGATGATCTTTCTCCGGATGCCGCCATATCGCGATGGAAATTCGCGGTGTCGCGGCAGTATCAACACCTTCTTGACAAAACTACCCCGCACGTGCTCCGCCGTTGGATCGGGTGCTTGGTGGTGGCTTCCATCTACGTGCTACGTGTCTACTTGGTCCAAGGCTTCTACATCGTGTCTTACGGTCTTGGCATTTACATCCTCAACCTCATCATCGGGTTTCTCTCCCCTCAGGTTGATCCCGAAACTCATGTTGATGGCCCCACCCTCCCCACAAGAGGATCCGATGAGTTTCGTCCTTTCGTTCGTCGCCTCCCCGAGTTCAAGTTCTGGTTAGTACCCTTCCATTTTCCCTTTCCTCCTTCTTAGGGTTTCATAAACGACGCCGTTTTAGGATATTATATTGCCTTCTTCAATTTCATGATTTTATCAACTTGATGCAATTGGATTGGCTGGATCCATGTGCTTCATCTATGTCAGAGATCAATCTTCATTCATGTTGTGCTCTGTTGGAATTATCATTTACGGAGTTACTAATAATGCTGCGTTATTGACTGGGTTGTGTTCTGTCAAAAAAGTAAAATAAATGTTATAGGGTTATGAATAGACTAATTTTATTTGATCTGTAAGTTCTTATATCCTGGGAAGAATCTAGATTTTCATTCAGGCAAATTACGGATTTCCAAAATGCCCACAGTTCGTAGATCATAATAGCATTTACGTTATACCTGTATCTATGATGAGCTCCAAAAGCGATCTTGATGTGCAGATTCTTTTCTTATTGGTTTCTTAGGCTCTTTGTCAATGTCTTCACCCTTCCCCTTCTGCTTGCTTTGCTACTTTGAAATAAGGAGGGTGTAAAAATCTTGTATTGTGCTTTCATTATATGAAGCTAGTGTCATTTTAGAAACATTGAAAAGGGCCATTTAGATCTTGTTGTTCCTTTTGGTTTTGGTGCTTTAAGTTGTGGAAGTAAGTTTGTTCTTCAGTAGGAAAACAAAGCACCTTTAGAATTGTTTTGACATGCGGACGGTTGCTTTTACTGAAGCTGTGCTTAATTTTTCTTTCTGTGCAGGTACTCTATCACAAAGGCATTTTGCATTGCATTTGTGATGACTTTCTTTAGTGCGTTTGATGTTCCGGTGTTCTGGCCAATACTTCTCTTCTACTGGGTGGTACTATTCACGCTTACTATGAGGAGACAGATATCACACATGATCAAATACAAATATGTACCATTCTCATTTGGGAAACAGGTAAGTTTAAATCTTTATTCATTCAAAATTGTTGTCTTAAATGTTATATGGTTATTAATTCGTTAAGTGGTGTTTTTATCAGGATTACGTCTTGTTGCTAATAGTAAGCTTTGGTTTTGTTTATTTTACTTTTAGCGCTATAATGGAAAGAGAGCAGCAGCAGAAAGTGCAAGCCTTCCAGTGGACTGAAATTTTAAGTGTAATTGAACTTTATTTGCTAATTTAAGTCACAACCCCGCATGTGGATTGATATCATCTGCAGTATATCTTAACAGCTGGGGCAATCTGAGGATGTGGTGGCAGAAGAAGATTGCTTATGGATGTTCAATTCCCAATTGAGCGACTGTTTGGACATCTTCGATGTTTCTACGCCCTGGTAGAAGATCTTAGCTTTGGGGAGATGTTGGGGTTTGTGAGGGCTCTTTCTTTACATCGCCCTTCTAGTAATACCTTTTTTCTTTATTTTCTATTCCTATATAGGTAGGCAAATGCCAAACCCTTATTGCTGAATTCATAGTCAAATAACGAGAATTTTACGAAGCCTGTGCAGAAGAAATACGCTTCATTATTTGCAATGGGGTTACACTGATCTGTCTTTTCCATTGTATTTTTTTTTTTTAATCATGTGATTTTCAGGAACTCAGTTTTTCTATAAATTTGCTCAAACAGTATCATTTTCTCCCGCAGGTTGACATTATTGCGATTTGTGCATTTAGAGTGTTTGGACATTTTTTTTAGTAAATTGTATCTGCCTAGCACTTTGGAATTGATGTTGGCCTTTTCCTAATTTACCTTGTGTTTGGTTTACATTTCTGCTGAAGCAAACGGAAAAGAATAATGCTATATATATATTCTTTATATATACATCATTTCATATCTGAATATTTTCCATAATTATAATTGATCTCACTTTATTTTTTCAAACTTGCTCGAATTTTATCACCTCATTGTATTGTGATGTACCACCAAGCATCATTTAAAAAATCTTGCTTTCCATTGCAATTTTATACAAAGTGAAATATTTTGCTTAAAAGAGTACCTTCGGCAATGTCTCAAAATCTAGAACATACAAAGCATATGTCTTTTGTAGATGATATATTTTTCTTTGGTCATATCATATGCCTTCAGATTGGAATTTGACAACCTCTGTTCCCTTTATTTTATTTAATCTTTCAATTAAAATGCTTCACGCAGGAAGGTGCCAGTTTTTGGTTATGTGGCTCTCATTTGGCTTTAAAATTGCCTTGGCTTCCTTTTGGCCCTTACTGTTGTTATTATAGAAATGGAATTCCCATTTGGTGTTCTTTTTATTTCTTTTTTGTTTTAAAAATCTAATATTTTATTTTATGTAACATCCCGAGTACTGACAAGGGCGGGGAGTGATCGCCGGTGCGAAAGGACATGGACAAGGAGCAGCTCCTGGCAGGCTTCCAGCGACGGGGTACATGAATGAATCGAATCAACAACACCTGAAAGAGAGGGATTCCAGAGACTGTGCTGGTATGGGACGGTACAGTTGGGAATAACTTAAAGAATTAATTGGTACTACCTATACCAACAAGATGCATCTTCTTTTTAGTAGTCCGGAATGGAAGAACTCCATAGTTAAGCGTGCTTGACTTGGAGCAATTCTGGGATGGGTGACCTCCTGAGAAGTTTTCTCAAGAAGTGTGCGAATGAGGAAAAAGCACACTGAAAAGTCTTGTGTTAGTATGTGGGGATAGTCATTGATTCTTGAAGCGGCCGGGCGTTACAAGTGGTATCAGAGCAGAGCCTCTCTTCCAGTACGGTGTGATTCGAGGACGAACCAGGCAAAAGCTGGTGGGCATGACGGGAGCGGGGAGTGATCGCCGGTGCGAAAGGGCATGGACAAGGAGCTGCTCCTGGCAGGCTTCCAGCGACGAGGTTACATGAATGAATCGAATCAACAACACCCGAAAGAGAGGGGTTCCAGAGACTGCTGGTATGGGACGGTACAGTTGAGAATAACTTATAAGAAGTAATTGGTACTACCTATACTAACAAGATGCATCTTCTTTTCGGTAGCCCGGAACAGAAGAACTCCATAGTTAAGCATGCTTGACTTGGAGCAATTATGGGATGGGTGACCTCCTGGGAAGTTTTCTCAGGAAGTGTGCGAGTGAGGAAAAAGCACACTGAAAAGTCTCGTGTTAATATGTGGGGATAGTCATTGATTCTTGCCATTTTATATGACAGATTTATAAATAAAAGTTAAACAATGCATCATTCACATTCACTTCTATTTTTACGGAATCTTTTAAATGTGTACATGTTATAATTTAAAATTTATATACTCCACTACGTAGATTTAAAAAGAGGACTATCATGCCATATTTTTTTTCTTTGCAATTTAAATCTCTTTTAGAATATGAAATGAAAGCTTGTTAAGGCAACCAAAATTGTTAAGCATATGCATCACAAATGGAAGTTGTATTACAATAGTATAACTGGCCAGTCCCTTCTGTGCCAACATAATTAATGAGATTTCTGGCCAAGAAGGTACCTTCTAGCTTGATTCTTGAAGCTTACACAAACATATCAATTTCTTAGACTTAAAAATGGGGGTCAATACTAGAAAATGTATTGATGAGTAGGAAATGAAGGACTCTGCAGGGGTACTCACCAGTTAACTTGCTGGTCTGTAATATCCATATATACTGTAATAAGTTTGTGCAAAAGTAAGTAGCAACAAGACGACAGCAGCAACCAAAGAGATAATTGCCCAAGGATTACTGAAGTAATTGTGTCTTAAGCTTGCACACCAAGTGTTCCATCTATGGTTGTAATACCGATTCACAGCCTCAGACAACGGGGAAAGGTAACTATTATTAATGTCAAACACAACCTCTTGACATAAGCGGTTAAAAAGGTCTGCAACTTCAGCATCACTACCAAGCCAGTGCTCAATTATCCCACGGTAATGAAGGTACCCAACATCTGATGGAGAGTTGATCAAGTTGTCCATGAAGATAACATAAGATGTAATGTCATTGCTGCAATCAAGATGACACTGCTCAAAGGCAATGAGGTTGAGGAACAAAGACTTAGTACCATCGTGTATCAATAGCCGTGGAATTCGCAGAATACCATCCTTAAATTTGATATCCCAGAAACGATCAGTCTTCCTTTTCTTGAACTTGATTCCAGCCTCTCTAAGCTCTGTGACACAATGTATCAGTTGTTGGCGCCGTTTGTCTGCAACCCCACGAGCACGTGACCTGTGTTTGTTCCATATTCTGGGTGATGGTTGAGGTCCTTTCCGCAGTAGACTTGTCCTGAACACATCCAAGCAATGAAGACCACCTTGATCAGATAAAGGGTCAAAGGTGGCAATGCTTCTAAGAGATGATTCTAATTTGTTTCTATCACTTTTTGTTAATGGCTCATCCGTTGGCATTAACGGGTCGAAGAACCTGAGTGCTAGATTTGCAACAAGTCCTTTCTGTTCTGGGTTACCCAGTTGAATTCCCAGAAGCATATCTAGTACGAACAGGGGAAGCTGGTTTTCCAGCATGATCATATCTCTCTGAATGGAATGCATGGAACCACGCATTTCAAAAATAGGATCATTCCTTGAATACCCAAGTTTCTGGAACCCTTCTGTAGCTCCTCTGAATAGCTCAAGCACAAAACAACCGTCAAGGACCAGCATTTCCACAAACTCATTGCTACTTAAACTGATTGGTCCTTCATAAAAGTAACGAGCTCTTTCTTCTATCTCTTTCATTGAATTGAGAAAGAGACTAATGTCTTGTTTGGTACGCTTCAAGACATGATTAAGGGAACGCCATTTATGGCGATCCATTTGGCGGAGACGTCTTTTTCCATGGTGGTAAGGACCCAAGGACACTATCTGGGGTACATAAGCTTTGTCATCGCCACTAGTTTCTCTGAGGTAGTGGGGGATTTTGTAGATTGATAACTTGGCCCATGAACTTGCCACATCATCTTGACGGGCTTGCTCTAGTTTTTCCTTGATGGAGATCACCCATTCAGATTCTTGTGAGCTTGCTTCTTCCTTCAAATTTTCACCATCTTCATTGATGATAACCTGCAATGGTTCTGAAGGCTCCTGCTGAAGCTTTTGCTGCTGTTGAGGAGGCTTCTCTGGAAACTCAGCTGATGATGGAATCCCGGACTCTAATGTTTCTTTGAGTTTAAGAGTGATAAGGTACCAACTCAAGAGCTCTTTGTTGAACACAGCTACCATTTTTTTTCTGGAGATTGCTATTCTGTTTCTTAGTCAATGCTCTGAAGGGTGTTGTCCAATCATAAACATATAGAACTGAATAGTTCGTGATTAAGGGTAAAGAAAAAATTGTGATTTTGGCGTTAAAGGACCCTACAAATTTCTTAATCGGATGCTCATTGTCTTGCAGCTCATATGGGACCCCTTTGAGCCTAACTGTAGTTTTCCTATAACTTTCAACTTTCAAGCGTGCGATTATATTCTAAGCTTTATTTTTTTTTTATTTTCTCTTACTAATCTTTAGCACGTCAGATTATTTTGGAAAAGAGCCTTAAAATATCAGAGAATGGATGAAAGTGGCTTGAACATGTTCACAATTATCATAAACTGTTTTGCACAGGAAGACCAATATACCACCTTTATCATTTGCTTATAAATTGAGAGTTCTTATTAGTTATTACTTATTACCAATTTTCTTTTTTCCCCTTATTGAACATATATGACATGATACTTTCTCCTCTTCAACTTTACTGCTTGGTTACACAAAGTTTTAATTACTTTTTCTTGATAGATCTGTGATAGGAAGCTCAAGGATTAACTATCTAAATAATATCATCGGCCATGATATTATACAAAAATTTGAGGTAGCATGTGACATAGCTTCCTGCTGCGACCCCACTGAACAATAATAATTCTGCACATGTGTAATATTAATGTGAGGAGGTTTAAGCCCTCCTGATCCCATTTGTTTTTATATTAATAGATAGACTGAGTTGTATAGAGAAAGAAAGGTGGGGCACAGCGGCAGACAAAAAAGGTAAGAGAAACGTGAAAGAAATCAAAATTTTCCTCCCCTTGTTAATCAAGACTTGGTGTGTCATGATTATTCATTTAAATAACTTCAAAACCATAGAAAAACATGGTTTCTGATTGTTTATACATAAATGAGAAGAGAGGGAGACAGATCTTTGATTGCTATTCCATATAGCTTTAAATCTTTTAACTTCAAAAATGAAGTGAACTTTTGACAGTTGAGTACCTTGTGCTTCAACTGCAGCCAGCAAGAGGGACCCCAAGTGATACTCTTTACAGCTAAAAACTTTCTTCAAATGTGAGCATAATTACCCATGCCAGGATGAGCAATTAACCTCAACTCTCAAACATTAAATGAGTTTCTTTGATCTGATCAAGTTCTTATATATTCAATGCCATTTTTGCTTTAATTAGAATATATTCACACATGTGACTTTCTTCTTAAGCAAATTAAAATATTTTCTTCAACAACTGAAAAACTCGTGAATATGACTGATGAAAATAACTTATGGGCCCGGATGTAAACAGGAGCGTTAGCTAATCAAATTGGAAGTTAGAACACCTATTCATGCTAAAGTTGACGCTGGCATTCCAGCTAATTAGCGTAATAAAAAATTGAATATGCCCATGTCATTAATTTTTCTGGACTTTTACATAAAATAAGCCTCTTGTTATATTGCCAACTAAATCACATGACAACTAAACCCACTTCCCTTAGTGTAGGAGTGATATGAGTGTTTTTGCTGTGTTCATTGGCATCACAAGGGAAGCATGCTACTAGCTGTAGCCCTTGCGTTCTAGAACCGGTTTGTTAACATTGTTTTATGATATTAAGCGCAGTTACAATCACATTGGTTCAACTAAAAACCCGGATAAATTTTTATTTTTTTTTAAAAACTCACTTGCTTTTCCTTTTTAACAATGCCGAGTTTAAAATAACCAATTGTGTGACCATAACCTTATTACCTTGCGGAATAATCAAAATTAAACTTAACATCATATTATTATTTTATTCGAGTCCAATACTAAACTCTCTTCCCTTTTTATTAAATTGGAATTCCTATACTTAATTTATAGTTCTCATCTCACACTATGTTATAGATCTCTCAGTTAGCTTCGTGTGGGTTCAAACCGCGCTCAAATCGGAGATCTGTAGCTTCAGTTATGCCAATTTTAGTAAACTAGGTTGGTGCTGTTTTCGGGATGCGCGCCCGAGCGCTAAAATGGGCGCTCGAGCGCCCAACGGCGAAGAATTTTGTCATCGTCAGGTTTTTCAGCGCGCTTGGACGTGTACCTGCGCGCTTGAGCACCCAAATCAACGCTTGAGCGCCAATTGGCAGGGAATTTCACTCATTTCACGTATATAGCATGCTTGAGCTCCCAAGCCAGCGCTTGAGCGCCCTACACCTGGGGAAGACTTGGTCTCCCCTGTTTTTGGTGAATTTCTTGGGGAAACTTCCTTCTCCTTTCATTCTTCAAGGGTTATTACACCTAATTGACAAGGAAAAACCAACCATGGTCACACACCATGTGGCACCCACATCCCACAAACACTTTACCAATTCATCATGCAATTCCAAAGGATAACATAGCTATATATTCATCAATACATCATAGTCTCAATTACACCAATGTTCTTCCCAATTTCATATACATGCCAAAGGACTTAGCTTCCCAAAATAAACATGACCGAAGCAATTAGCCATACACCCTATACCAATTACTACTACCATGATCATGCTCTAAGTCTTCCAAAATACATCATGTAGCCTCAAAATATACATATACAATTCTAAATGGCATGCAACTCAAAATGTCCAGATATCAGGTACAGTCTACTCATGCTTCTTGCCTCGATCAACCTTACCTCTATCAGCACCTGAAATGATGCCCCATAACACGGGATGAGATATACGAATATATCACAGTAAACCTAGGGTCCTTGGAGATCACTCCACTCTAAGGTTCACTTTCGGTATACATATAATCATAACAGTTTAACACATTCTTATCCATACACATTACATGGACTTCCAAGAGAGATCCACGAAGGGCTGTTTCTCTTAGGCTCTTACCACATGGAGATCCACATAGGGTTGTTTCCAAGGGAAGTCCCTAACCTCAATCTAGGAACCTCCAAGAGAGATCCACGTAGGGCTGTTTCTCTTAGGCTCTAACCACATGGAGATCCACATAGAGATGTTTCCAAGGGAAGTTTCTACCAATCATCCTCATCATAATACTATCAATCATAACCTCAATCACAGTCCTCAACCATTACCTCACTCATTATTTCTACCTTTATTAACCACTCCTCAATTACTCTTAAACAATCAAACATCAATCAATAATCATTAATCAATCATAACATTTATCAATGCATGAGCATACAATTACTATCATCATTACATATCACATCTCATACACCATTTCTCCTCAACGGAGTATGGTGGAACATTCAAGGGGATCAACCCCAAGGTCCAAAGGTTTACCTTGCACTTGAACCTTTCTCAAAACTTTCCTTTTTTCAATTGAATACAACCACAAGGGTTGGTCACTCCACTTGATTCTCTTGCCTCAATCCTATCAATACAAGGAATACAATCAAACCATGGCTTACCATTCAATAAAATCCTTAATTTCAAGCATAATTTTCTCAAATAACAAAGTATACTAAAATGACAATCCAAACTCATTTCTACCGTTTATTTATCATTCCTAACAACTTTTACAAAGGTACTAAGCCTCCATCAAACTCCAACTCATAAACCCCTAAAACATTATTCATCAAAACCTAAATTCATGAAAATCTCAAGGAAATGTGTGAAAGAGGGTGGAAACTTACCACAAACGATCACACAACCGAGGAATGGGTGTTTCCTAAGCACCCATGGAAGGAAAAGCTCTCAAACTCCTCCAATCTTCAAGGGATCGAAACTTTGGAAGGAGATATATCTCTCCACAAAGCTTTTCACTAAAAACCAAGGTTGGATGTTATCAAAAAAAAAAAACCATGGTTGGATTCCCAATGAGGGGAAGATTCTAAGGTAGTGTTTGGTTAAGGAGAAATTTTATTTTACTAGGAAAATGTAATTACTGGGGATCTGTGGAGAAAATGAGTTATATAGGAAAGTTTAAAAAATGTTGTTTGGTTGGACAAAATTTTACCAGGAAAATTGAGTTAAATAACTGAATGTGTGTTTGGTTGAAGATAAAATATTGATGGGAAAATTTAATAAAATTACAAAAAAAAACCCCAAAGAAATAACCTGTATTTTTTTAAAACTTATTGAAAAATGGAGGATATCCTCGTTACAGAAATAGAAAATAATGGAGGAAACCTCCTTACAAGACCAGAAAAATTGATCTACAACATGAACCAGACAGATCAGAAAAATCTCAGCCCAAGGTGACCTTCCTCTTAATACTCAATTTCCATGCCTCCTCCCTTCTCTCTCCCCCTTATTCTCCCATCTTATCCCCTACTCCTTGCATGTATACAGAGTCTTCTTATCCCCTCTCGACTCTAAGGCTTGCAACTGTCTGATTCGTTCTTCTGAAGTTGATGTTCGTCTTCAAGGTGGTGTTCCCCATCAAACCATTCAGCAACCTGTTGTTCCAATTGACATCAACCATTTCAAGTGTATACATCTTACCATGTCAATCCCAAATGTTTGCAGGGTAATAATCAAAATATTGGATAAAAATACATCTTACCATGTCAATCCCATCACTGGCAAGAACTTGGAATCCTGATTTTTAAAAACCAATCCCAGTGGAAGACTTTCTATTTTCCAAAATGGCTCTCACATCATTTACCAAATAATATTGGATATAATCCAATATGGTCTCTTCACAAATTTTTCATCATTCGGTGGTAGACAGACGAGAACTTCAATTCGATGATTGGCTTATGCGATGAGTGATGAAAAATACAAACCTCTCGCTGCTCGTGTGTTTGTCAGAATGATATTTGGTTTGGATATCAGTTGGTCACGTGTGTGGTTAGGAAGGAGGGGTATATGTGTTATGCCTTCCCAACCTTTTTTCACTTATCCGATTTTTCAACCCAATACCACATGTTCAGAGGGTTTCTTCAACAGTGCCAAAATCAGTTTTTTACACTGCTTCCTGGAATGCAAGGCAAACGGGATTGATGGCCAAATTTACCAAAAATCTTCAACCAAACATGGTTTAATCAAATTCCC